CGGTGAGAGACGCACAGAGCCGACAGTGGCGTCAGCCGTGTCCCACTGCAGTGGTAAGCCGGGCAATTGGCAGAGATTCAATGAAAAATGTGTGTCAGCTGCCACCCACCTGCCTGCCTGCCACTCACTTATTGGCACCAATCGAGCAGTGTGGGTGTCAGGCACACAGAGGGAGAGATGATAAACGCAACTTAAAACAGAAATGCCTGAAGACTAACGCCTTCGCCGCATAGCGCGCATTTCGTCCGTCCATTATTCAATTCATCATCCGTGGTTTCAACGGGGGAGTTGGGGAGTCAAACGCGGGCCGAAGGTTCGGGGTTATCTCCGCGCGCGTGCCAGGCGATGGCTGCGGCGCACGGAACAACGCGGCCCGCGCGGGTGACACAACTCCTCCGCCGCGGTTTGCGAAAGCGCCGAGAGCTGACGCGAGTCCCAGCGTGCGCCGATCCAATAAAAGTCTGTCGCGTTCCACAGCAAAGGAAGGGGGGGGGGGGGCTCAGCACACGGCGGGGTCTCTCTGGCGGGGTTTCACCGTTTTTAAATCGGCGTGGTCGTGGTGGTGGTGCCGCCTCGAGACGGAGACATCTCGAGAGGTCCGGTGGCGACTCAAGGTCGACTCAGCACCGGTGCCGCTGGGGGAGAGGTCCGTGGACTGTGGCGTCGTGAGAAGCGCCTCTCCCTCTCTCTGCAGCCGCTTCGACGGGGCCTCTGACACAACCAGCGCGGCTGTCGCGTTCATTCATGACCCCACCGCCACCACCACCACCACGCCCGTAACGAGCTCTTGTTACGCGGCGACGACACCGATATTTGTCGTCAAGGTTGTGTTATGTTAATAAAAAAACAACATTAATGTTACGGTTGGTTTAATCACATTGCATGTACGTGGAGCGGGATTTGAACTCGGGATATCAGCAGAGCCGGCTCAGCGGTTCTGACGTGGCCAGTGGTAGCCCTCGGGCAACTGGACACCGCTTGCTTTGAAGTTCATGCCGTTTGTTTTCAGTATGGCTCTTTGAATGCTCCGGAGGACGTCTTTGGAATGTGGAATTTCCACCACTTGGTCGGAACTGCCAACGGAGCCGAGCAGCAATGACCCCAATCGCGGTTTGAAACACCGGAGAAACGTTCACCTCTTTGACATTCAAAAACGTTGCTTGCAAGTGTCATTTTAATTTGGATTAAACTAACTGATGCACGGTTTAGAGAAAGTTACATTCGGGGCGATGCTGCCACATACCTCGGCGGCGCCAGGATTGACAATAAACATTAATTACATATTATCGGACGTCTCGACAAATCCAATTGGAACTAATGCGATCGCAAAAGTTGACAATGTTCACAATTTCTGTGTGAATTAATTGCCAACGTGCTCTGCATCGTCGCCATCGATTTCCATGCGAAAACAAAAACAAAAACTCCTGACAATTAAAATCGATGGGGCCCATTTGGTTGTCTTTTTAAAATGTTTTTGTCTTTGATAACTGTCGCCATCGGTGTTACAATCGGGTGAAATCGCATTGGAGGAATTGATTGGGGAGCAGTTATTTTATCCCCCCCACCCCTCCAGCCGGGAAGTCACCCGGGATGAATGACGACTCCGAACGCGGCGGAGGACAGACCGGGTCGTCTCGCCGAGGACGCCGTCGTTCGTAAACAAAGGAGCAGGCGCTGGATATTTTTGACAATCGTAATTAAATCATCGCAATTATCCACTCGAGGCATTACCAGCGGAATCCGTCCTTGTCCAAATTAAATGAACGAGCCTCTCTCCCGAGTCGTCGCTCTCGGAGGTGATGTGGGCTCCCCGGCAGCAGTCAAACAAAAGAGAGAAGAGAAGGCGGCAGGGGCAGCCGAGTGCCCTGGGCCTCGCTCACGACTTGGCGATGCCGCTGCTGCTGCTGCTGAGTTTGCTCGTGGTGCACAGGCACAATTAACACTACATAATTTCAACACGTTCCTCGATAACACCTTGGCCTTAATAAAAAAAAATATATGTGACGGTTTGGGAAGTGACCTTTGTTGACAACACCAAGATGATCCTTCGTCACGTGCCATGAAAAAGGGCCACTCCCGAAACGTCGCCTATTATATATCGTTTAATATCAGGGCTTCGCAGTTCGCCGAGAACATTCTGGGACGCTTCAAACAGCCCGGGTCTGTGCGCCGCAGACGTCGCGCGAGGCGGATGCGTCGTCCAGGTTCCACCTTCTCTCGCACGCGCACTTTCTTCTTCTTCTTCTTCTCAATCTTTCAACCATTCCCGTCCAATAATAAATCAGTGTTGTTGTTATGGAACGGCGTCTTTACGACGGGCGTAAAATGAGGCGGGCGGTGGGTGGGTTGACGGTGGCGATGGGGGCGAGTGAGTGAGTGGGTGGGTGGACGAGTGAGTGAGCGAGCGAGTGAGTGGGCGAGCGAGTGAGTGAGTGAGCGAGCGGGTGGGTGGGTGGGCGAGTGAGTGAGTGGGTGAGTGAGCGAGCGAGCGAGCGAGTGAGTGGGTGGGTGGGTGAGTGAGCGAGCGAGCGATCGAGTGAGTGGGTGGGCGGACGGGACCGATGGGACGGAACGGGGGAGAGAAGATTATATTTTTTTTGCGAGTGAATGGGCTGGGGCGGCTGACTCACGTCTGGGTCTGCGAGCGAGGAATGTGCTAATTGTGCGAGAGCCCGCGGAAGTGCGTGACTCACGCGGCGCTCGCGGGGAGACAAAAGCGCTCTGCCACCGTCCCCTCACCGGACGGACGGGACCACCACCACCATCACCACCACCATCATTATCACCACCACCATCACAACCACCACCACCACCATCACCACCACCACCATCACCACCACCATCACCACCATCACCACCACAATCACCACCACCACCATCATCACCACCACCATCATCACCACCATCACCATCACCACCATGACCACCACCACCATCACCACCACCACCATCACCACCACCACCATCACCACCACCATCACCACCACCACCACCGCCGCTCCGCGTTTTTTAATGCCCCCCAAAAAACACGCAGCCCCCCCCCCCCACCCACGCTGCCACCCAAAAAACCCTTTTACATCACCCAGTGGGGCGGCAGGACATATTTTGTTAACAAGTTTTCAAGGCAGGACTTTGAAGACTCTTAAGGGGTGGTGGTGGTGGTGGGTAGGAGGGGGGGGTCTATGCGTACATCCCCTTTGAAAAGCGTTTGATGTCTTGTCCTGAACAATAAATTTCGTAAATGCGATGCTTTAATGATTTTTCGGGAGGGGTGGCGGAGGAGTAGGGGGGGGGAGTTCTCTTTTAGTCTCTCTCCTTTACTTGCAGAAAAAAAAACTGTCCCAATGATTTCCTTGTGCAAGCAGCACACATCTGAGGACGCACGCACTCACGCGGCCCACAAACATCAACCCGTGTAGCTTTTAACAGACTGTAGGGGCAAGTGCTGTTAGCGAGCACTTATGGAGGCCGACACGGCACACGAGGGGGTGAGTGGCCAGCACCACGCCCGGACGCCTTTGTCTCCCGAGTGGCGATGTTTACTACACATCGCACCAGGTACTCGTTTGAGGCCAAATCGACCTAAGGGAGGCCCAGGACCGGTTCAGATAATCGTCACTGGTGTTGGCCGTGAGCGGGAATCGAACTCGGGTCGCTGGGTTCGTAACGCAGTGCGCTAACAGCTACACTACCGCTCCCCACACACACCTACAAACACACACACTCATGCAGTCCACACACAACAACAACAACCGCCATTCGCCACTAAGTGACGGTGACGTCACCGCAACGCTTGTGCCAGGCTGTGTGCACGTTGAGACCACGTGAAGTGTCGAACGCCCGCTGGCAGGAGGTTACCGGGCAGACCCAGGTGCCACGGGTCGACTGACTGAGATGACCGAGATGACTGGCTGATGCACCACCTGTGCCCCCTACTGTGCCAACTTTGCTTTGCTTTAGCCACCCGGCGCTCCGCTCGTTGTTGTGAGCGTTGTTCCTCCTATCGTACGCACGACGCCTTGCAGATGCTTCTAAAGCTTCGCCATTTTATCTCACCACTTTCTCTCTCACTCGATGCAGTCGTGCAGAATTCCAGATGCGATTCGCGGACAGACAAAATCCGCGGATCGCAAGTTCGTGAGTGACGAGACGACACTGCAAGGCACGTGCGTCGCGCGTGTGCTCTGAGCACAGAGAGCAAAGTGTCTGTCCACCGCCACCGTCAGTCCCTTCCGTGCCGCTCGTGAGCGGCGAGGGGGGCCGAGCAACATTCCGCCGTGGTCCCCTTTCTCTCGCCGGCAATCGCTGCATCGCTCCTTCTCAACCCTTTGCCTGCTCGGCGTTGCCAGCCCCGCGCGTGTCCCCACGTGCTCGTCTGTCTTCGCTCGCGCTTCTTGTTTCCTTCCACATTTCGTGGTGCGCCCGCAGGCGTGAACGGAGTTCATCGCGGTGCTTTGCAACGTCCTAATCGGCGCGACGCGCACGCCGAGTGCTAAGCCGGCCCGTAATTGGTGCGCCATGCAATCTCGACTTAGGCAAACCCCCCCCCACCCGGACCCCCCCCACCACCCCCGAGGTCAACTCACCCATGAATGCGAGGAGGCCGACAAGAGACCGAGTGCGGCCTAGTGTGCGCGATGCCCACCGCCACGCCACCACCACCACGCCGCCACCACCACCACCACGCCGCCACCACCACCACCACCACCACCACGCCGCCACCACCACCACGCCACCACCACGCCACCACCACCACGCCGCCACCACCACCACCACGCCGCCACCACCACCACCACCACGCCGCCACCACCACCACCACCACATGCCACCACCTCGTGCGCGCTGTACCAACCTGCCTCGCGGCAGCTCTTTAACAGCACCCGCCACGGCAGCCCCTGATGCTTAAGTGAAGAGCAGTGGGGGAGCGGTGGGGGAGCGGGAGGCGGGAGGGTGTCTGTGTTTTGTTGTGGATGAGGAGTGCGGAGAGACGGGGCACTCACTCCGTGGCTCGCGAGGTCCGTCCACCGTCACCTTGATGGCACGGTGGTAGGTGGCCACCTGCGGCGGGCTGGTGAACACCGTGATGGTGAGCGTGAAGCTCTTCCCTGCACAGACACACAAGCGAACGCACGTGCACACACACGCGCATGTGAATACAAGTGCACGCACGCACGGGTGACGACGATCGCCCGTGTAGTCTACACAGACCGTTGGGGCAAGTGCTGTTAGCGAGCACCTACGAAGGCCGGCACGGCACACGAGGGGCTGGGTGGCCAGCACCACGCCCGGCCGCCTTTGTCTCCCCAGTGGCGACGTTCACACACCGCACCATTTGAGTCGATCAAGGGGAGGCCCATGACCAGTTCAGTTAAACGGCACTGATGTTGCCCATGAGCGGGAATCAAACTCAGGTCTCTGGATTCATAGTGCAAGTTGACTAACCGCCGCACCACACCGCTCCCCCACTTGCATGCATGTGATGAAGATGATTATGAACGTGGCCGTGTGAGCCAGGCGTCTTGTTGCCAGCAGCGAGAGACGTGCACGTCACAACACGCAGCCTCGGAACCCGTTCTGGATGCAAATCCACGGCGGTCATTAACCTGGGCCAAGAGGAATTACTGTCGACTCGGTCGCATCGACTTTGTGTGCTGTCTGGAGTGTCGCCCCCAGATCCCCACCAGGTCTCCCCTGCTAAGAGACTCGTGTTCTCAATGCACTCGCATTCCGTTGTCAGCAGCAGCAGCAGCAGCAGCAGCAGCAGCAGCAGCAGCAGCAGCAGCAGCAGCAGCAGCAGCAGCAGCAGCAGCAGCAGCAGCAGCAGCAGCAGCAGCAGCAGCAGCAGCAGCAGCAGCAGCAGCAGCAGCAGCAGCAGCAGCAGCAGCAGCAGCAGCAGCAGCAGCAGCAGCAGCCATGGTCAATCCACTGCTGGATGAACAGGCCTCCTCCCCCGAGCTGCTGCCACCCTCTCACGAGCGTGCGGTGTAAAGACGTTCTCCTAGCACATGGGTTGACAACCTGTTGCTCGCGCAGCCGCACGCGGTATCTTTACGGACTGCTTCGTGACGTCATTTACTAAGGACCACCATCTCGTATTTACTTAGCAATGCGGCTCTTTAAATATTGAGTCGGTTTTTTTTTTTACCGAATTCTACAGAGATGGCTCCTTCTTCGATTTAAAGCTTTCGTGACTGCAGGGATTCATCTTCTTGGTTCTTTCGGTAAAGTCACGTAGAAGGGAAATAATAAAATAATAAACATAAAACATAATAAAATACAATTCTCACTGCTTGCGTTGTGGCCGAAACGTCGTGAGAATTGTATTTTATTATGTTTTATTTTTATTATTTTATTATTTCCCTTCTACGTGACTTTACCGAAAGAACTCAATACAATGAACTTTTAAAGCTTAAAACCTGCACGAGGAAGTTAGCTTCATAGCTTTAAACTCTGCGTACAAATCGCCACTGTTATTGGGTGCCGCGGTGTCGAGATGTTAACTCCCTCGCCTGGTATACAGGAGGTCGTGGGTTCGATCCCGACCCTAACGCCTGCTGTTGTATATCAGGAGTTTGCGTGTTCTCCCCGTGGTTGTTTGTATTTTTCTCCGGGTCCTCCGGGTTTTCCCTCCACAATTAGAATCAACATCACCACGCGTTCAGACTATTTGGCTGCTGCTATCAATCCGCCACGTGACGAAAAGCCACTTCGTTGAGCTATCATTTGGTCGCTTCTTACAAATAACTAAATAGCTCAGTGGGGCCTTACCTGGTGAAATAAACATAGTTTAGTTTAATAATCCATATTTGACTGTTTCGTTTTTGAAATACAGGAATTGATGCATTTTTACACGGTGTCAATCACACCGATCGATAGTGGAGTCTGTGGTGCAATGGTGAGCGCACACTAAGTTACGAGCCCAGCAGCATGAGTTTGATTCCTGGCTACAGGTAACATCCATAATATAGGTTTTTGGGTCAGATCGCGTTATTTATAAATGTGTCGTAACCCTCCACCACCCGACACGGCCAATCAGTAAAACAATGTGCCACGTTTTTCAAAGGACAAAATAATTCCCTTCTGTAGCCCACCGGTGTGCTGAAGAGAGAATCAACAGCATTTTGAAATGTGAGTAGTACGACGTTTCGCTGATAATTACAATCAGCTTCATCGGGCAAGAATGGACACACCGGTGGGCTAAAGAAGTGAATAATTTTGTTCTTTGAAAAACGAGACACATTTTTTACTGTTTGGCCGTGTCGGGTGGTGGAGGGTTACGACACATTAATAAATAACGCGATCTGACCCAAAACCCTATATTATGAATACTATTGGTCGCGAAAGCCTCCCACGTGTTATACAGGTAACATCGTCGGCGTGCGAGTGAAAGCTAAACCTGGGCACCCCCGTTCACAAATCCGCACTGACCAGCGTGGTGAAGTATGGTCAATCAACGCCCATGACCGACACAGCGTGGGAGAGGGCCTTCATCTATAGCAGCAGCGGATTGACAAGAGGGTAAGTAAATAATTATCATTAATCAGAAACTGAAGTAATACACTTCCAGCGCACACACACACACATATACGTAATATCGAATTCATACATTAAACTGTCAAAGTTTGATCAACCAGTTTGCTGAGCGTTATTGTTGGAAACGAATATCCTAGTTAATGTGGAATAAAGATGATGAGACACGCCTCGCATCGGCTGCGCTGTCATTGATTTTTACGACGCCGCTGAGACAACGGTGCCGTGGGACAGTAGGCTGCTGCTCGCCGACTACGAGGCAACTGCTCCTTGCTTTAATTGTATTCCAATTTATTTAAATTGGTGCTAATTGGCCTTACGGCACAAGAAGAAGAATCCATTCGTAAGTTCACATAGAGCTGTGAACGCCATCTGTCAGAGAATGTCAGACTCCGAATGTTTCTTTATGCTGAAGGCATCCTATGAGCTATGATGCTCTTTTACTGGTAGGAACCTCCTGGTTACACCAGCCCACAGGGGATTATTGTGTTCGTCCGTCGTGCAGGGAGGGGCTGGGTGGGGAGGGAGGGGCTAGGTGGGGAGGGGAGGGTGGGGAGGGGCTGGGTGGGGAGGGTGGGGCTGGGTGGGGAGGGGCTGGGTGGGGAGGGTGGAACTGAGTAGGGGTGGGAGGGGTGGGGCTGGGTGGGGAGGGGCTAGTCACCCCGTGGTGCCCTTATAAAACTTAACGTTTAACCTACTCACGCCGGCTTGTGCCCGCCCTCACAGTTGGGCATATTTGCGGAATACACCACGCCGCCGTTGACCCTGGCCATTGACCGAGCAACCCAACTTTCCTACCAGCTCCCTCCGCAGGAATGTGTTTCACAGATGTCCAGTTAATGGCCCACACAGAAGCAATTTTTCACTCGATCTCTCCTATGGATATTCACGCCCCCTGCCATAATAATATGGAATTTCTATTGACTTTTCTTCGCTGTAGAAAACAATCATTCAAGTGTAATTTTATTATTATTTGCACAATAGAGGGCGCACGTCCCCACAAGCACTGCTATGAGACTCTGATCAAATGCAACAGCAGATTTAACGTCACGGTGTTTGTATTTAACGTGGTCATTGCTGACCGGGCTGAGACGATCAACTCACTGGACTTGAGAACTGGGTTTAATCGTAGGCAGTGGCTGGAATCTGCATTCAAACCGAGGAGTGTCTCAGCAGCGCTGGCTCAACGCTCTCAACTCCGGAGCCATCCGGCCACCTCTTAGATGATCACAGCATTCATCTTCATCGGGCCTCAGGATCGTGTCCACGCTGTGTGCTCACGTGGTCTGCGTGCGCGGTTATGTGGCTGTGTGGTTAGGCAAAGGCGGCGTGTGTGTGTGTGTGCTGTGGGGAGCGGTAGTGTAGCGGTTAGCGCGCTGCACTACGAACTTAGCGACCCGGGTTCGATTCCCGCTCACGGCAAACACCAGTGACGATTATCTGAACCGGTTCTGGGCCTCCCCTAGGTCGACTCAGCCTCAAATGAGTACCTGGTGCGGTGTGTAAACATCGCTGCTAGGGAGACAAAGGCGGTCGGGCGTGGTGCTGGCCACCCACCCCCTCGTGTACCGTTCCGGCCTTCATAGGTGCTCGCTAACAGCACTTGCCCCTACAGTCTGTTAAGGCTATACGGGGGATCTTTGTCTTTGTCTTTGTCTTTGTGGGGAGCGGTGGCGTTGGAACTTGACAAAATACCCGCAATTGTTTTTTTCCCCGTGTGTTCAGTTTGTTGTCCGTGCACCGCACCTCCGATTAGCCAGGTTGGCTACGGAGAGTGCGAATTAAGTTCAACATGCGTCCGTGTATACTCGATTGGGATTATACATTGCAATCATCACCTCCCTCTCCGCCTGCACAAAAAACTGGCAGGACCCTCCTGAAACAGTCACGAGACTCAGCGAAACTCTCCTGGATGAACAGGCGAAGTAATGATGTAAGTACGCAAGGTTTGTCACGTACACAGAACGTGCCAATTCGTGACTAGTACAACACACCGGTGTGTGGATTTGCCGGTGTGCTGTACTAGTAACGAATTGGCACCTCCTGTTTACGTAACAAACCTTACTAATTGGCTGTGTCGGGTGGTGGCGGGTTTAACGGCACATTTATATTTACGCGTTCTAGCCCCCTTAAAAAACCTGTATTATGGACTTATGTATGTATGTATGGTTTCCTTCTTTCACACCGTACGTAGCCAACCGTGCTAATCGCACAAGTCCGTTAAACCGCATGCCACATTGCTTCGTGGAACTGGCGTTTAGTTTTAATGGCGGCGGGGGGAGGGCACGTTTTACAGATAAGGCAGATTTGCGATAAATAGATTCTAGTGCACATTTGTGGTATTTCCGTTACCACATTTCAATCAAAATAACAACATAATATATATACACACGCGCGTACGTTATGTGTGATGTTTGCACCAAGTGCGTTTGTATGCAACTGTGTGTTACTAAGTAACACACAGTTGCATAGTGGTGTAACAATGTTAATTTTTAAAACGCGACTGTAAGCACGCAAAGTACTGCATGGCACCACCGAAGCAGCTATTTTCATTTTGCATGCGAGCGGCTTAACA